TCCGCTGGTGTCTTTCCCGCAGTCATCGCAGTTTGACAGACACGTGTTAGCCAGCACATGCCTTTTTCGCTTAATGCTTCGAACGTTTCAGGCTTATTTTTATCAGTTATAGTAGCACTTCCATTTTTTAGGCTTTTCACATCTTAGATAAGTTCGTGAAAGGAAGGCTGAGCAACTGTTTGTTGCGAAACCGACCGGCAGAAGGCCCAGGGTACGGCCAAGCGGCCAAGATTAACCTGATGTAAATATATGGAAGGAATGTACTGTAGACTGCATTTGTCTTGTGCCGAAGCTCAGACACTGGCGCAGGATTGGGAATGCTGGAATCACTGCCTGACGCGTCTGCCTCCGGGACCCGAATGGAAAAGCGGTCATGGAAGACGAAGATGCGGATGAAGAGCGGTTATGACAAAAACAGTATTCTGAATATTTATGCAGTGACATGTAATGAGTTTCGGTTGCTGAATGATCGCATGTGGTTATGTGAGGTCCTCTAGAGTTGGTGCTCAAAAAACATGCAGCTTCGGTCTCCTTAGTTGTCTCACAGGTAGCAAGATGCAAGTTGGCGATGAATCGGCCATGGAGTCATATCATGAAAGAGTGATTAATTAATTAGCGTCCTTCCAGCATACGAATCAATAATACGGTATAAATACCGGACTATATAAGAAATACCAGGTGGAAAAATATTGTGCATGATGAACAAAAAGTTTAGCTATCTAATAATACGAAAGGTATCTAACATCCCAGTGCTGAAATACCATTCTACTGGTGGCCACTGCGGTGCAGCTTGTGAAACTTCGTTTTGAAGTGGCACCCCGCAGTGCCTTTTGAAATTTAAACTTTTGTTAGAATGGCTACGATGAAGTCGTGATATCTTTCCTCAGAAGAGTCATTCACTGCGGCTTGCAAATAACTTAGATGCTTATGCCGTAACATATGAGGAGAATAAACTTCTGATAATGCGTGATGCATCTGGCACTGTTGCTGTTCAAGTGCCACGGAGCCGTGGATTGCTTAAATGCCCCCCCCCCACCATGGGCAACTGGGAGTAAGGGAGTGCTGCAATACGACATGAAACCTCGGAGTCATTCGTTACTTAGGATTTTATGATAATAGATTTACTACATGCTTTACGTACAGTTCTGCAACGCTGACGTCGTCTCTCGTGTCAGAAGGTGAAAGTAAACAGAGCTGTTTGATAGTGGGGCGCGTATCGCACGGATGTTTGTGATTCATGGCTTGCAGTATGTATGACAAAAAGTAACATGTGACAAGAGACATCATTCGTTTGGCGAACAAACAACTTTGCTGCTGACGACGAACGACCCCTGCTGCTGCTTCGGTACGACAGCATGTGATGAATGACCCCCGTCATGGCACAGCCGCTGAACCGCTCCGAGACCTGAAGGCTGCAGTGACCGCCATTACGACTCGCAGGTGATGTCTGCAAGGGATGAATTTTATCGAGGGTCACTGGCCGGCCACACCGGTAAAGCGGTATATAAACATAACACTGCAATGACGATCTTTTGTATGTCATCTGCATAATGAATTTAATAAGTGGTCGTCGAGAGCTCGCCAGCCTTAAGCTAATCAGGCAACCGGCAAGGAAGGACGGGACTGGCTTAAGGTTAAGTACAGAAAGTTCTTTACTAACTTTAATGCAT